TATGATCATGTTGTCCATTTTGTCTGTGTAACCAATGTCTGTTTTTTTAACCAGTTTATAACATCATAGGAACTAAATGTGGTCTTAGTTAAATAGTTCACACATAAATCTCCTGAATCATGCTATGCTAATGAGGCATCAGTGAGGAATACTGGACATACAAGTTTCTGGGGACTGACCCACCAGGCTTCCCAACAAGTTATTCTGCTAATTTGACTTTTTCCACTTAAAAAACAAAAAAAAATCCCAACCCACGCAATATCGAAAAAAAATAATTAAAGCACCTCATACCAGCTCAGCTGATCCGCGGCATCGTGTTTTGACAGGACCTGGACCTCGGTGACCTCTGACAATTTTATTTTATTTATTGTCTCATTTCACTCTAACTTTGTAGATCAGACTTTAATTTTGAAGCATGGACCACAGGACAGTGATGAATAGGCTACATCAAGGAGGGCTTAAATTACCCCTCTCCCTGGTGGCAACACTGACCGCAAGGAGAGGCGTGTGTGCATGTGTGTGTGTGTGTGTGTGTGTGTGTGTGTGTGTGTGTGTGGTGACCTAGTAACAGCAGACAGAGAAAGAAAGAGGGCCGGTCAGCACTTGCCCTCTCAACCCTGCCAGCTCTGCAGCACACCCAACAAGGTAGGGGAGAGGGGGGGGACACTGGGGGGAGAGAGAGAGAGAGAGAAACAGAAAGAGAGCATCCACTCAATCTCTTTCAGCTTCTCTCGTCAATGCATTGTGTTGTTTTTTGGTGGGACTTTGTAACTTTTAAGGTTATTTGAGGAGAGTCCAACCCTGGCCTCCTTTTTTTCTTTCTTTCTCTTTCTCTCTCTCTGTCCATGCAAATAGGTTATTTTCTTTTTTTTTTCAAACAGACAGTTTTGGGAGAAGGCCACTGCGATATCAACGAAACCTTAACACTACATAATAAAAAAGTCAGTCTCAAATTGAGGTGGGAAAAGGCAGGAAGGTTGTGGCCAAACAGCCACAGGCACGGCCTTAGGCTGAGAGGAAGAGAATCCCAAAACAGGGTGATGAAAAGCAGATTTCTGTGAAGGAAAAAAACAACTTTTAAAAATAAAGAAGTTTAAAGTATTCTTGTGGACTTCTCCTCTCAGCCTGCTCAGCTTAATAGAGACAATATTTATTGTTTTTCTTATTAACATTAACTCTACTTTGTGACAGAATATATTTTGACTCAGAAGGAGAACCGCCTATTACTTTGTATTTTTCCTCATATAAATTATAGAGCGTTTTAGATGCATTATCATAGTAAATGATTTGTTTACAAGAACATTACTCAAGCGAGCTTCCATTATAACAATGTATGTGCAAGCTACTTTGATGACATACGCACTACTTTATCAGCAATCATCAGTTACTGTCACACGTCCGTCTCCTGTCGAGAGCGGATGAAAGGATTCAGGGGCTTTGATTGTTTATGGTTGTTATAAAAAAAAAAAAAATCATGCGCGTTTTTTTTCCAAGCTGCTCTGCAAACTGCCACCCCCCCCTCCTGGCTCTTTATCCAGTCTACTAGAAACCAGTGTGCCGTGAAGCCAGTGCTCCACGCCAACGTGATCACTGTAGAAGAAGAAGAAAAAAAATCCGAAAGAAACTCCGAAAAAATCGCGGATGGTGTAGTGTGGTGTGGCTCTGAGATAAATCACAGTAGTTGTGCTCTAAACCTCCCCCTGTTTCTACTGAACCCCACCGCTTCTATTTGCGTTTTGAGGAAGGGGGGCGGCGGATATACACTAAAGCCTAATCTGGACTGTAACAAAGTCCCTGCAGCTAATAGAATATGGCATTGGAACTTTTAAAAGCCGCACTTGCTGGTTATATTTCTAGGAACAATGTATATGAAAAAAACCTAAAAAATATATATTATTCTCATGATGCATCCATGTGATAAATTGTGTGTCTTAGATCACCAAAATAACATCTTCAAAAACAATCATGGAATATTCTCGTGCGGTCCTGTGCTCAGGTGATCACTCACTGAGTGAGCTTCCTCTCGGCTGCTCATTATAAATAACCTCAATAATAAAAACGGACAGGATCGAGTTTGGACTCACCCAGTCCAGTGCCAAAGCCGTGCCCAGCCGTGCGTCCGTGGAGAGGGGTTTTGGAAGCTCCGACTGGTGCGTAAAGACGGCAGTGGCAGAAGGGCAGAGGCGAAGTCCGATTCCCTCATCACAGCCCCCCTCGGCACACACACACACACACACACACACACACACACACACTCGGCGAGTGTGTGCGTGTACTCACGCTGATGGCACGTTTAAAGCTACATTCCTCTCTTTAACTGTTCGTGGAATCAATATAATAATTGTTCATGATTAACTTCACCCCCTCCCCCCCACACATGTCCTTTAAATAGAGCATCATATATGAGTCATACACGCGGTTATTCCTTCATAGAGTCCGCGTCCTGTATACTTCCAGTGAACTCTAATGTCACCGCGGATTGTTTTTTTCCATATGAAGCACATAGTTTTTAGAGGGAAGAAGTAAATCTGCTCATATCATCAGAACTTAAATGTTGCGAGCAAGCAAAGGCGAGATAGTTCAATGAAATCAGAGTTTTGTATCAGTGAGGACGACGTGATAGTGTGATATATGTATCCAATAAAATAGGCCTACTGACGAGAATGCACAATTGTTAATATTTTTGTAATGCAGTAGTTTTTTTTCTTCTGTGGTACAAACAGGACACGAATTAAATGGTGGTGATGTGCTCATGTAGTTTATTTAAAAAAAGAAAAACATGAAAATTAGCTCTGCGTGGTGCGTAAAAAACATATTTGCGCCATAGACAGAACGTTTTGTTCTCTTTCACAATAATCAGAAAATGAAAAGAAAAAAATATCCAGGAGAGAATGATTGAGTGGGGTCTTAACTGCGTTACCTCACCCAGAATTGTACCGCAGGTCCCCTAATCTACAAACTTCGACGGTTCCAGGCAGTTTCCAAACATTGAAGGGTTCGGCTAATATCAGCGATGATCCGCTGTATCTGCTTTGAAACACTGAATTATTACATTTAGTGTTTTTGCTTTCTTAGTGCTTAATCACAATGCTGCATTCAATACGTGGCTTTTACAAGATTACGTGTTTTGGAAAGTTTTATGAAAATGTTTTAATAACATGAAGCAGAGATTAATGATCAGTCTCTCTCTCTCTCTCACACACACACACACACACACACACACACACACACTGCACGTATAATGTTGTGTAAAAAATAAGAAAAACTGACTTTAATTCAGTCAGAATGATTGTTAACGTTCAAACGAATATTATGACTTTGTTTTGGGTTCGTAAGATTTGGTGATGGACATGTGAAAATAATAACCATGCAAGTCAAGCACAATGATTTAACTACATGGCAGCGACAGAAACTCATTGCTGGCTTTTAATTACGTTAAATATAATATCCATACTGTTGTTTTCGCGAGTCGTACTCGTGCACGAGTCTCAACAGCAGTTTTGCGTCGTGATTGTATTTCACACATGAATGGTTAAAAAGGAATACAACTCCTAAAGCACCAACCGTGCAAGTTAAAAGCCTAATTATGCCCCCCAATAAAAAAGCGCATATTGAATCAAATCCCCGCGCACGCATCTGGCACATCAGGAACTGTGACGCTTCTTTTTATTTAATCTATAATGTGTTCTACCTAAACCCAGTTCTCCTCCAGACTGGTATACATCTCTAGGTCCATCAGAGTATATAATGCTTTACATTGTTGGATTATACGACTTCAAAGAGGAGAAAGAATTAATTGTGTCATAACAGGCTATTTGTTTTTTAGTTTTGGTATTCATGTGTTTGCATCCGTATAAATCGAAGCCTTTCTATCGCTCCCCCTCTCCCTCCTTCTCTCTCTCTCTCACTCGCTAAAGGTAGGCGTGTAATGGGTCACGTCTGTATGTCTACATCCCCATTAGAGAGTACAATGCGCGGTACTCTTTCAGCCAGGATTTGTCAAATGACAATAGCAATTTATGATCAAACCTATTGTCTTACAATTAATAATACTATCAATAAAAACACACGGTAGAACTACCGAAATTATATTTCATTTGACTTGTAAAAAAACTGTTTTTAGACTTATTCAATGATAAACATTTAGACACTCAGTGTTGGATGGACGTTGGGAAGCGACCTCTTCAATTTAACTTAATCCATACCGTAAACAAATGTAATGAGATTATGAGCATTTGCCTGGCCACTTAACAGGTAAACATCTTGGTTATTAGGTAGACACGTTTCACGTGCTTTCGTCTCAAAAAACATAGTTATATTTCAAAGCAAATTTAAGTGTTTTTCATTTGAGAGTAACACGCCGAAAACCCAGCCCAGCCTCGTGATTTATACTGAGAAAGTATTTATATTTTATTTCTCTGTTCTTGTAGATTTTTAGGAAGAAGAATAAAGTGCTGGCGCCGCGAGAGGTAAAAAAAAAACCAATAACAAAAGCTAAAAACAACACTCGGACTCCTATTCTGGAAAGAAAATGTCGCACAAAAGCGCAGTGCGCTCGCGCGACGGGCTTTTAAGAAAGTGGGCTGTGTCAATCAGACGGAGAGGAGAGAGAGCTCTCCATCGCCGACGAGCACGGGGCGCGCGCGCATGTGTGTGTGTGTCTGCGTGTGTGAATGAGCGGTATGTGTGAGTGCACACCGTGATGGGAGGGGGGGGGGGGGGGGGTTGTAGCATCGCAAGGAATGTGCGCACGGCAGCGGTGTGTGTGTGTGTGTGTGTGTGTGTGTGTGTGTGTGTGACACTGATGGATGCGCCAATGGAAAGACGGACAGATGCTTGGGCGGATCTAACGGCACGCAGTGGTGGAGCGGCGCACACAGTCGCGGCGAGATTAGGGCGAAAACATCCTCGGATCGGCGGAGAGTCACCGAATCACCAAATCCTTCCACCGAGCCCCGGTAAACGGAGGAGGGAAAGAAAGGACTCCCCCCCCCCCCCCCCCCCCCCCGGTTTACCCGAGGAGCGGCGCGCGGAGAGAGAGAGGCTGAGGATCCGAGGAAAAAGAGCCGTTTCTCCGGCGCGAGAGGCGAGGCGGCGGCAGCACCACATCTGGCGCAGAGGGAGACGGGAGGTAAGAGACAGACAGAACGATTTTGGCGACTCACCCTGCGTCGCTCTCCCTCGTCATTCAACTCCCTTCTTCAAGAATCCGTCCACCCTTTTGTCTTCACCCCGAGGATTTGCCTGAAAAAGATATAGGAGAATAATTTTTTTTTCATCCACTTCACCAAACTCAGTTGAATCCAAAAAACTTTTTATTCCTCACTGCGAGAGAGAAAAGGGGAGCAACGGCATCTCCAGAAAATGTTTGAATAACCTACATCTGGATGATTCTGATCTTACCTGTGAAGAAAAGCAAAAACGACTTTATTCCATTCAGTGCCAAATAGAAAGGGACTGCGCTTTGGTGAGTTTTTTTTGCGCCTCTCTGGTTCTCTGGTCACGGGAAAGAGAGCGTGTAGGGGGAGACACGTCTGATTCGCCGCGTGGCTGATTTAAATAGCTCCTATCGGGCCACGCGAAGAAAAGAAAAAGAAAAACGAAGGAAAAAAAAAAGTACCATTGGCGGCCAAACAAAGTGTTTGTCAGAAAGGCGCTCGAGCTCGGCTGATCCGTGCAGCTCCAGCCAGCCTGCATGCATGGGAGCAGCCTGAGCCCGTCCCCTCCTCCTCCTCCTCCTCCTCATGTACATTATTACAACAAGGGAGACCCAATCAAGCGCGTATCTCATCGATTCGGTCACACACACTGACGCGCGCGCGCAGTTGCAGCGACGCGCGGCGCACACGCGCGCACTCACACGCACACACACACCGACGTTGTGACTTGCCCCTCAGCGGATTTTTTGTTTTTTCAAAGCAACTACGAAATATCGTAGCTCCGCACCAGGCAGGCAAGCAGGGCAGCGTGTTGGGTGACCAGTACCCGGTCGTCACCTCCTCCTCTTTTCTCTGAGAATAACAAACTGAAAGAAAAAGCTTCATGTTGCTTTTCTTTTTTTCATTATTTTTCTTTTTTACATCCCCTCCTAACAACCAACAGGACTTGCGAGAGCCGAATGGATTTTTATGAGATGGTTTCAGGCACGTTTCGGCTGGTCCACCACCTCTTGGTTTTGAATTGCGCGTGATTGCCGGGAGGGGAAAACAAGAAAGAAAGAAAAGCGGAAAAACCTCATGGATAGCGCGGCGGAGGATCAGCCCGTAAAGTAAGTATGCATGTCCGTTCAGATCACGCTGTCAGCCGTGCCCGCGTGCTTGTGAATGATACTGTATACACATATATGTGTGCGTTTGTGACGGGCTACCATGCGTCCATATTCTGCCCATGTATAGCGCTCCTTAGATCCATCTGCAGTACGACTGACGCACATTTCAAAAGCAGAATAAGCACAGAGCTTCTGATTAGCCCGCTCGTGCAGGGAAAGGGGGGGGGGGGGGTAAACGGGGACGGAACGAGGCAGTGACTGACAGAGAGAAAGAGAGAGAGAGCGCGAGAGAGAGAGAGAGGTGTAAGAGAGGCAGAGAGAGAGAGAGAGAGGGTGAGAGAGACGGGGAGCTACGTGACGCCGATCAGCGGCGGAGAGGTTGAACCGTAGAAGGAGGCGCAGGGCTTCAGTTGTGTCAGCTCTTGATGTGTTGTTGTCCCCTTGTTTTGCGGACTTTTTTTTTTGGTTCTGGTTTTTGACTGACGCGATCGTTTGGTTTTTCTTCCCTCCCTCTCTCCCCCTACCCCTTCAAGCTTCGAGCCTGTTGCAGCCTCCGACGCCAAGTAGAGGGGATCACACGGAGACACGAGGCGCTTTTTAAAAAAAGAAGAAAAAAAAACTCCGTGTTCTTGTTTTTTTTTCTACGGAAAAGCACCCCCCCCCCACCCTCTGTTCAAGCCCCCACCGCGTCCATCCAAGTCGGAGCGTGGAGCGGGGCGAGAGAGAGCGACACAGAGCGACCGACGGAGAGGAGCATCCAGCCGGAGGAGTCGCGCTGAATTTCCACCAGTCTCTCTATTTTTATTTTCATTTTTTCATCACCGTCTTCTTCTTTATTACCAATTACCAAACTGCACACCCTCCTCCTCCTTACACACACACCCACACCCCGATCTATGTGGAAGCCCTGAGAGCGCATCCAGGGGGGGTGGGGGGGTGGGGGGTTGTATCAAAGCTCCGCGGAACCCTTCCGGGCAGCATCGACACAGCAGGGCCAGAGAAGAGCGCCCTGCCGGGGCCCCTGAAGCCGACATGCCGCGGAGGAAGCAGGAGGCGCCTCGGCGCGCATCAGGTACGGGCTGGCTATGGTTTGAATGCAGTTTACCTCCCCCTCTCTCTCTCTCTCTCTCTCTCTCTCTCACTCTCTCTCTCTCTCTTTCCTCTTTCACCCTCTCTCTATTTTGACCCCCTCATTCAGTTTCTTTTCACTATTATTTCCCTCACCCCCTCTGTTGTGGGGGGCTACTGTGAACTAACAAGGAAAGGGCAAACATCTCGCACTCTGGAGGTACTTTTCACAGCTCCAGTGCCCTCAACACAACTTTTGTTTTGCCTTCACATACTAGACATGTTCCATCACCTCTGTCACAATTCCTCTTGTTGTAATCAGTGGAAGTGCAATATCAACCCCATACCTCTGCTTTTACACAATATCAGTTTTTCTTGGAATCCCACAGACTCTGAACTCCACATTTTTCTTTCTTTTGTTGTTGTTGTTGTTATTGAAGTGTTTGTAAACAAAGTCGTTCCTTTGGTGGTCTGCAGTAGAGCCGCAAGGACGAGTTGGTCAATCGATCAACAGAAACAATTCTAATTTGTCTCTCGTCATTTGAGTCAAATGTCTAACACATGCAGTTTTGCAGCCACTTAAACGCAGCTATGTTCTGCTCGTCTCTGCTGCTCGTCTCTGCTGTGTGTCGCTGCCAATTGAATCTGGGTGGCTTTTTGAACTGCTGTTTGGACAAAACCAGACACCCGAGGCTTTGGAAAACTGTTTTTTTCGCCATTTCCTGATTTATTATACACAAACCGGACGCATAAAGGAAGATTAATCAATACTGCGAATTATTGTTATTGTTCAAATTATTCAATATTTCTTCAATCACCCGTGTCAGAAGGAAAAAGAGGGTCTGGATGCTTTTACACCACCCGGTAGTTAGAGCAGTCATCTTATTGCACTCTGAAAAGAAAGGTCACAGGTCAACCTCGGCATAGCGGTTTGCACGCGTCCTAGAAAAGAGTGTCGGCGTGTGAAAAAGCCTCCTTCTTTTCATTCTCCTCCTTTTCCATTCTTCATTTCTCTCTCCTTTCGCCTCAGAAAACTCGGCCGTTCACAACGTCTCTTATCTCTTTTCTGGTCCTTCGCTGCGCCTCCTCCACTACATACATTTTGACTGTAGAATCGAGGGTGTGTGTGGATGGGGGGGCTTGGTGGAGCCCTGTAGGGGTCAGCTGACCGTCACCGAGGCCTCCGATGCCTTCTGATTATCTCAGAGTCAGATTGAGCTCTGAAAACATCCCTGACAGAGTACAAGGAAGTGGACATTTGCCTTGCGTGATCAGCGTCTTTCTGTCACTGAACCATTTGCATCCCTTAATATCGTCTGTGTTCGACTGTCTGCCGGTGATGCTGTTGCACGTCACGTTTGCCGCAGGAATTTGGGATGTCTTCTGCTTCACAACATTGGGCTTTAGGGACCTTTTGTTCTTGTTCTTTGTCACTTTTGTACTCTAATACAGCAACCTCTTTTCGAGCCGTTTACCACCTTTGTTTTTTACTCATCAGGGTCCGGGACTGTTTTCTTTCTCTAATTTATCTTTCTCCCCCCCCCCCCAGTTTCCGGGAAAAAATACTTTTCTCCTCGTCTAAAGATTATTTCACCGCCCCGGAGGAGGGAGTGCATACTGGAAGAGAGCTTTAATGGACAATTGCCATCTTTGATTTGACGCCTGATTGATCGCCTGTCATCTGGCCGAGCCTTTGATCTGTTCATTCCCGATAAGTGTCAATAAATCACCCCCCCCCCCCCCCCCCCTGCCTTCAACTCTCGCTCCGAGGGGCCTGCCGAAGTCGCGTCTGGCCCTCACAAAGTTCTCGCCATTAACAACGTCATTTAATTGCGTTTTTTTGTTGTTGTATCTATCTCCCCCCCCCCCCCACACACACACACACACACACTTTTATTAGCTTTGATTTCTTACCCCTACCCCTCCTGCCCTCCCCCATTCTCCTCAGACTTGACGAGGATAATGAACCGCTCTCGGCATTTATTTTATGTTTCTCATTGAAGTGGAGGGAGAGTTTCGGTGTTCTCATCAGATCATTTACGACGCCAATAATTTGCACTCAAGCTCGAATTTTCCAACCTAATTTTTTTACTGTAGCTTTGGACTTGTAGCAAACATGGCATTGAAACACTAAATTACCATTCCTGTTTATTAAAGGGAATTAGTAATGATTCATGTACGACCTTTAACATCTCACCGTAAGCCCTTTTTACCTTCAGCACACTCTTTTTGCAACTTTTCTTTCTCTCTTAAGCAAATCCGGACTCCGAATGCGCTCACAGCCAAACCAGCACGCGCAGGCAATTACAAATGTGCAGCGGTGCATGCTGGGAGGACATGCTGCAATGACTTTATAGTGCATATAAACAAGCATGCGATACTTCTCGCCGCACACACACACACACACGTAGAGTGGTATGAAAAATGTAACTATTAGCCTAATCGTGAAGCGGAAGACTGTTTTGCTCCATCAGAAGGGCCCATCAGAGAGACTTTGTTTCATATTTGATTTAATTGTCTGCCCTCTGACAGCCACATTCATCAATGGCCCTAATGGTCAATCAGAGGCTAGGACACACACACACAGATAGAGAGAGAGTCTTATATATTCTCAGCCCAGGGCCTTACTTGATCAAAATGTTTTAGCCCTAATGGACACAATGGGTGGGGGTGAAGGAATGGGTGGACAGACAGACAGACAGACGGATGGATGGATGGATTGATGCACAGCGAGACAACTTTTTATTCAGCCGGACTGAGCGAGGAAGTGCGCCGGCAGAGAAAATGAGGCATTTATTTCTTTGATGAGCGGACGAGAACAAACGCGAGGCAGGCGAAGGACGAGTTTGACTTTAGACTATTGGCAGCTTCCTATTTTCTTTGTTTTGTTTTTTTACCCTTCATTCCTCCTCCTCCCTACTCCCTCCCTCCCTCCCTCCCTCGCTCACAGCTGCAAGTTATAAGGTTGAGGAGAACTGCATGGCACACAAAGAGTGGTGACAAATTGATTGCGCCGGAGTGATGGCAAGAGTTATGGGAGGATGGCAAATGATAGGCCTTGATTGGGAACTTGGGAGGGGGCAGAGCACACCACAACCTTAGTTTTTTTCCCCCAGCTTTCTTTCTCTTTCATGTCACTGATTCTGTCTCCCTATCCTGCAGCCGGAAAACTTAAGCAGTCCTCGAGGGTTTTGCGGTCAAAGACGGCAGGCAGATCACGCCGGGCTTCGCTGATTCACTCAACCATCAAATTTGCTAAAAACGACACAAACTCGTAAATCCGGTTAAAGGTCAGCGTGTTTACCGAGCGGCCTCTTTTTGAATCTGCTCATTTGGAGCTTCTCATGTGGTCTTAATCGGTCGCCGCGCATAGACGCACTCCAACGTGGCGTCACACACGGCCAACTCTTTGCATACAGTGCACGAGCAAAGAGGATGTAACCCGTTCATTCTACGTCACACATCTTTCTCCATTCTTCCCGTCTGGTGATCCCACACATTTGTCTCCACTCTCCCATCCTCCACACGCAAACACAAACACGCAAACACACTTCCAACCCCGGCGACGGCGCGCATTCAGCCGTCTAAAAAGAGGAGTTGTTTTGCCAGCTTCATTAGCGTTCTCCTAATTAGCCGGAGCATCTGATGGATCTCCTGACGTGCCTAATGATTGGAGATGACAAGCTCAGCACACTGTCACGCTCGCCAATTAGGGTCCGCGGCATGGTTGGATGTAATCAACTTGATCTTACACTGTCCTCATTTGCCCCCCCCCCCC